AGAAAGGGGGAGGAGGCAAACCCTACAACTCACCCTTGGTCACGACTTGAGATTCCCACTCTGGGCAAGGACCCTCCCACTTCAGGGGATTGTAGATAACACTGACTTATTTTTAATCAGTACTTAGTTCTTCATTTTTTTTTTTTTTACTAATAATACTTATATGTTTCTAGCTCTCACAAAAATATAAAAGTTATGCATAATAAGCAAGTTGCTTTTTAGGTTAACAATTTAACAGGTTTTTTTAGTTGGATAAACAGATTCCTGTAACCTTCTATTTCCTTTCGTTGTAGTAATTGCTCTAGAGATAATGACTAGATATTGACCACACTGGTGCATGAGACGTACTGTATTTTTTATATCTGAATAAATAAAAATCTTGAAATTCTTCCATTTCGAGAGCTGAGAGAATGCATGTGAAATACACACATACATACACACACCACCACCACCACCACCACCACGATCATCAAAGGAACCTAGGGAGCAAGGAGACATGTGCCATCAGAATTTCAGACACCACAGAAAAGAGATTGCAGCAGAGAATAACAAGGGATACCTAGAGCATAGGGTCCTCCCAGAACCCCATACCATCACCCAGTCTCTGTACATGCCCTCCAATTCCACCCTACACACCAGGCAAGAACCTCTGGGAGCTGGAGCTGCAATATCATTTCCATCTGGAAAATGAAGAATCAGGGAGGTGAGATACATGAGCAGTGAGGGAGGAAGTCAATCTCCAATTAGCGGTTAACAACAGTGATTGAGCAGCTGGCAACTTTATTGGGATGTATGGACCCCAACATTGGGATCCTGGCTGGAAAATCTCAAAATCAAAATGAGAAGCAGATGCCTTCATGTCAGACTCAGGTCTTGAACTGGGGAGGTGGGGGATAAAGCCCACTTCAGCATGGACCCTACTCCTTTACTCCTGCCAGCAGGGTTTCCTGGGCAGTGTGTCCCCCAGGAATAATATTTTGCAAACTGTGCTCTGCACAAACACTACTTGTTGATGCTCTCGGAGACCAATTTGTCTGAATTCCAATTTTTGCTGTTATTTCCCTGGTGGTTTTTGTTTTGTTTTGTTTTTGATACATAGGTTATTTAGGAATACGTATATTGTTTAATTTCCACATATTTGTGAATTTTCCAAACTTCTTTCTGTTATCAATTTCTAATTTCATTCCATTGTGGTCATAGAACATAATTTTTTTTATAATTTCAATCCCTGTATAAATTAATTGAGACTTGTTTTTTGCCCTAACATGTGTTTTTATCCTGGAGAACATCCCATGTACACTTGAGAGGAATGTATATGCTGCCATTGTTAGGTAGAGTGTTCTATAAATGTCTGTTAGGGCTTGTTGGTTTATATTGTTGGTTTATAGTGTTGTTCAGGTCTTTTATTTCCTTGTTGATCTTTAGTTTAGTTAGTCTATCCATTATTGAAAGTGGGGTGCTGAAGTCTCCAGTTATTGGGTTGTCAGATAAGTCATGATGTATTTTTTCTATGTTTTTCGTTGCAAAAATATGTCATGACTTTTCTGGCAACCCAATATTATTGTTGAATTGTCCATTTCTCCCTTCAATTCTGCAAGTTTTTGCTTCAAGTATTTTTGGTCTCTGTTGTAGGGGCCCATAGGTTTATACTGCTTGTATCTTGTTGACAGATTGACCCTTTTAGCATTATAAAATGTGCCTCTTTGCATCTGGAAACAATTTTTATCTTAAAGTCTATTTTGTCTGATATTAGAATAGTCACTCCAGCTCTCTTTTGGTTACTGTTTACATAGTATATGGGTCTGACAATTAAGTTTGCAAACTTATCCTAGAAAAAGTGCTATATACTTCGTTGCTGAATACCATTATGATCACCTTCAAAGTACTCCCCTTGGGAAGCTATGCACTGATGCTAGTGCTTAGTCCACCCTTCAAAGCAATTTTGGAACTCATTTTCTGGAATGGCCATCAGAACTGTCATCATATTACCCTTGATGTCCTGAATGTCATTAAAATGTCTTCCTTTCAATATTTCCTTTATCTTCAGGTAAAGAAAGAAGTCATTGGTGACCAGATCAGGTGAGCAGGGAGGGTGTTCCAATGTGGTTATTTGTTTACTGGCTAAAAACTCCCTCACAGATGTACTGTGTAAGCTGGTGCATTGTTGTAATGCAAGAGCCATGAATTGATGGTGAAAAGTTCAGGTTGTTTTCATCTAACTTTTTCCCACAGCCTTTTCAGCACTTCCAAATAGTAAACTTGGTTAACTGTTTGTCCAGTTGGTACAAATTCATAATGAATAATCCTCTGATATCAAAAACAGGTTAGCAACATCGCTGCAACAAGTTCACAAACTTAATTGTCAGACCTCATAACTTTTTCCATCCTCTTACTTTCAACCTATTTGAATCTTTTAATATAAAGTGTATCTTCTGTGGACAAAATATAGTTGGATCAGGGCAGTTTATCCACCCTACCAATCTCTGCTTTTTTATTAGAGTGTTTAATTCTTTTACATTTAATGTAATTACCAATAAGGTAGGATTTATGTCTGCCATTTTCCTATTTGTTTTCTATGTGTTATGTTTTTTGTACCTCTATTACCCCAATACTGCCTTCTTTTATGTTAAATATTTTCTAGTGTAGCATTTTAATTATCTTGTCAAATCTTTTACTCTGTTTTTTCAGTTATTTTCTTAGTGGTTCCCCTGAGGCTTATAATTACAATCTTATAACAATCTAGTTAGAATTTGTACCAACTTAAATAGTATAAATTGCTCATATATAACTCCACTACCTCCCCCGTCCTTTGTACTATCATGGTCATACATATTGGTTTTTGTACACTGTATGCCCATCAACACAGATTTATAATTATTGCTTTATGCAATTGTCTTCTAAATCACATAGAAAGGAAAAGAGTCACAAACAAGAAAATATGTATTTAAACTGTCTTTGTATCTACCCATACAGTTACCTTTACTGCTGGCCTTTATTTCTTCATATAGATTCAAGTTACTATCTAGTATCTTTCATTTCAGCCTGAAGTACTCCCTTTAGTATTTTTTGTAGGAAGGTCTGCTAGTGAGAAATTCTCTCCATTTTGTTTATCTGGGAATGTCTTGATTTTTTTTTTAAGGATATTTTTGCTACATATAGGCTTCTTGGTTTATAAGCCTTTTCTTTCAGCACTTTGAAGATTGGCCCATGGTTTTCTGGCCTCCCTGGCTTCTGATGAGAAATGGCTGATAATCGTAATGAGGGAACTTTGTATGTGATAACTTGTTTATCTCTTGCTACTTTCAACATTCCCTCTTTGATTTTTAATAGTTTAATTATGATGTCTCTAGGATAAATTCTAAGATAAATTCTTATTTTATTTGGAGTTCACTGAGCTTATTGGATTTGTAGATTGATATTTTGATCACATTTGGGAATTATGGGGCCATTATTTCTTCAAATGGTCTTTCTGCCTCTTTCTCTCTCCTCCTCTGAGACTCGAATTATACATATATTAGAATGCTTGCTGTATCTAACAGGTATCCAAGGGTCTATTCATTTTCTTCATTTTGTTTTCTTTATGTTCCTTAGGCTAGATAATCATCAAGTTTGCTGATCCTTTCTTCAGCTAACTTATATCTGATCTTAAGCTCTTCTAGTGAACTTTTCTATTTCACTTATTGTGCTTTCAACTCTAGAATTTCTACTTCATTCTTTTTTAAAATAATTTCTACCTCTTTATTGATATTGTCTACTTGCGGAGACATCATTCTCATACTTTTCTTTAGTTCTTTGAACATATATTAAATAAATGTTTAAACCATTTATTTTAAAGTCTTTGTCTAGTAAGTCCAACATCTGGGTTTCTTTAGGGGTAGTTTCTATTTATTGCTATCTTTCCTGTGAATAAGTCATACTTTCTTGTTTCTTTGCATGTCTCATAATTTTTGTAGAAAATTGCATATTTTAAATAATATAATACGGCAACTATGGAAACCAGATCCTTGTCCCCCAGGGATTGTTGTCGTTACTGGTTTGTTGTTGCTGCTGCAGTTTATTTAGTGGCTTTCCTAAACTAATACCATAAAGTTTGTACTTTATTGTTGTGTATGGCCACTGAAGTTTCTGCTTGGTAGTGGTCAGCTAATGATTAGCAACATACCCTTAGATGCCTGGAACCAATAAGTCTCTCAGCATTTGCTGAGGGACACTGTGTGTATGTTGAGGACTCCTTCACAGCTCAGGCAGGAAGTTTACAACTCTCCCTTAGCCTTCACTTTCTGATTGTACAGAGCTTCAAAGTCAGCCAGAGTTGAGAGCTTAGGGCCTTCTCAGGTCTTTCCTGCGCATATGCACAGCCTTACACATGGAATATGCCAAAGTTTTTCAAAGCCCTCTGTGGACAGCTCATTCGTCAACTTTTCCTTTTAAGATTTTTGGTCAGCTTCTTGCTTGCCCCAGCTATTACCACTGCCTCAGGCAGCTTTGATGTAAATAATTGCCACTGATTGTATTCAACAAATGCCCCCAGGGGAAAAAAAAGGCTGTGCATTGAGCAAGCTTCAAGTGAGGTTAAATAAACACAACCTTTCAAGTGATGTCTTTTAGGGAAAACAATGACAGTTACCTGGGAATTGGGCTTTGGAGGGCCTCCAACCCTGCTTTGCCCCTTCCAGCAACTGCTAGCTGCTTATTTTCACTGTGATTGTGGGGCTATGGAGTTTAAAGGCTGGAGAGAGGGAGTGGGACTAAGGTAAGTTAAAATACCTTAAAGTTCACTGCTCTTACCAAGATTTAGCCATTTTCTTGAATGAACACTCCCCAAATGGTTGCAAGTCTTTGGTTAATTTCCACAGTTCTGAAAAGGTTAGAAAAATTTTCCAGTATTCTCATTGCTTTTATGAAAGAAAGGACTTCTTTATTCTGTCATTCCT